GCCACTAAGAATCCCAAGGAGGAAGACTGGCTGCCTTGAGCCACAGGATGGGGACTCTGGAGGACAGAGCCAGGAGCTCATTTCTCTGCACATTTTGGCTATTAGACTTGTGTAAAAAAAACCCAAACAGTGCACACTTTTTGTATTTAAATATTAACAGTGATTCTAATAAAAGATCATAGATTGTGTGACCAAGCTACCTTATTTACCTCTTCGTGCCTTAGTTCCCTTATCTTTAAAGTGGGGATAGTGGCCAGGCACAGGTACTCACGCCTGTAATCCCAGCACTTTGGGAGGCCGAGGTGGGCGAATCGCCTAAGTTCAGGAGTTTCAAACCAGCCTGAGTAAGAGCAAGACCAGGTCTCTACGAAAAATAGAAAAAGTAGTTAGTGTTGTAGCAGGTGCCTGTAGTCCCAGCTACTTGGGAGGCTGAGGTAAAAGGATTGCTTGAACCCAGGCGTTTCAAGCAATGTGAAACTGAGTGGCAGAGTGAGACTCTGTCTCAAAGAAAGGAAGGAGAGGAAAGGAAAATGGAAAGGAAAGGAAGAAAGAAAGGATAGTAAGTACCTTTCATAAGGACCAAATAAGATTAAAAAAAAAAGTGAAGAACTTAGAACAATGGCTGGCACACAATAATAATAGATGTCAGCTATTTATTAGGTAACTAGTAAAAATAGTTTATGTGGAAGAACAGAGGAGATCAAGCCTACCAACCTTGCTGCTCTCTGTTCCCAGATAGTGGGCTGGAGATGGAGGGTCGGCTCAATTCCCACAGTGACAGGGCAGTTATGGAAATTTAGTTCTCACCTCAACTCCACCAAAGTACCCTCTTTCTGGATGATAGCTCTCATTTATATAGCTTTGATTGGCAGGTGTATTTGCATTTTTTCATTTAATTGTCACAGCAACTCTGTAGAATAGGAACCCAATTTACTGGACGCGGTGGCTCATGCCAGTAAACATAACACTCTGGAGAGCCTAGCCGGAGAATCAGTTGAGCTCAGGAGTTCCAGACCAGCTTGAGCAAGTCGGAGACACCGTCTGCTGGCTTTGTGGAGGGCGCCTGTAGTGTCTGCTCCCAAGGAGACGGGAGGATCGGTTGAATCCAGGAGTTGGGAGTTTGAGGAAGCTGTGAGATAGGCTGACACCACGGAACTCTATCC